ACTTAATGAAATAAGCCAGTACCAAAGGGACAAATAACATATGTTCTCCCTGATCTGTGAGAACTAACAAAGCACCTAAAGGCAATCTGTAGAATTTAAATTGACCTTTTGTGAGGCAATGAATTCGAAAAGCCTTTGTCTTGACTGTTGAGGAACAGGTTTTTTTTTTAATTTTTTTATACTATTTGTTGAACTCTTTACCTAATATAGAGTTTATCATATCTGTATAAACTTAACAGAAAATAGTTCTTAGTAAAAAGTGAGAGTGGGAATAAGAGAGGGAGGAGGAAAGGAGTGGAGTGTGGGTGGGTGGTCAGACATGGTGGAAAGAATCCCCATGTTCCTAAAGTTGTAATTAGGAAATATATGCAGTTTGTAACTGCAAAGCTGTTTAGTTCTGCATACATTCCTATGGACTTACTTCTAAGAGTACAGTTCTGAAACTTGCCATGAGACCATAAATTCCCTTAAGCTTGGTGGTAAAAAATAGCATTTTAAGTGTTAAAGTGATCATATAGATAGGATTAAGTGTTACAGTGATCATATACATAAGATTAAGTGTTAAAGTGATCATATAAATAGGGTTAAGTATTTGGAGGTAATAGTAGATAGAATTAAAAAGGAAATGAATGCTCTAACACGGGAAGTTGTCCATAAAGCAGACTCATAGAATGATAATTGCTTTAAGTAGCACTCTGACCTCAGAATCAGCTCTTTTTTTTTTTTTTTTTTTTTTTTTTGACAGGCAGAGTGGACAGTGAGAGAGAGAGACAGAGAGAAAGGTCTTCCTTTTGCCGTTGGTTCACCCTCCAATGGCCGCCGCGGCTGGCTCGCTGCGGCCAGCGCATTGCGCTGATCCAAAGCCAGGAGCCAGGTGCTTCTCCTGGTCTCCCATGGGGTGCAGGGCCCAAGCACTTGGGCCATCCTCCACTGCACTCCCGGGCCATAGCAGAGAACTGGCCTGGAAGAGGGGCAACTGGGACAGAATCCGGCGCCCCGACCGGGACTAGAACCTGGTGTGCCGGCGCCACAAGGCAGAGGATTAGCCTACTGAGCCATGGCGCCGGCCAGAATCAGCTGTTAAGTCGTTCTGGTCTGGCTGAAATGCTCATGACAACATTTCATGCATGGAAAGCCAAGACACTGTGGCAAAGAGTGTCCTATATGAAGGACTTCTGTGGATGGGAGGCCAGTGTAAAGAAGTGGTCATCAAAGAAGGATGTACTTTTCTCTGAAGGAAAGAGAGAATTTCTACTTTGTTTATGGTCTTGTCTAAATACTGAAGGAGTCTGGATTCGAAAGGCTTCCATAGTCTAGGCAGCTCATGTCAAGAGCCTCAGGTGATCATTGATGTCATACATAAGAATGTTAATTGTTAAATTAACAACAGGAATCACTGTGCACAAACTCCCCATGCAGGACATCTGTCCTCAAAGAGTTTATTAGGAAAGTTAACAGTAAAACTTGTTCTCAAAGATTTACTTCATTTTAGTGTGTTAAATGGAGGATATTCTTATGTCTCATACCATACACTATAACACTTAAGTTGTAGTTATGTCTAAGTGCTTGCAAAAGATGTATCATTCCTGGATTCTTATTTAAAGTTAATTAAGTTGCTCAAAAAAAAATTTTTTAAAAAAGTAAAACAACTTCAAGATACAATGACTTTGAACAGCCCTTGTCTTGACTGTTGAGAGATAATTTTTTTCTGTGTGCAAACTGTTGAACTCTTTATTTAGTATAAAGTTGGACTTCTGCATATAAAGTTAATTGAAAATGGATCTTGGTGGAATATGTGACTGGGAATGGGAAAGGGAAAAGTAGAATGGTTGGGAGTGTGGGTAGGAGGTTGGGAATGGTGGGAAGACTCACTATATTCCTAAAGTTGAACTTAAAAAATGCATGAAGCTTTTATTCCTTAAATAAAAGGTTTCTTTGGGGAAAAAAACTGATACACACACATATAAAATGGAATATTATTAATCCACACAAATAATAATGTTCAGTATTATGCCTCTGGAGGACATAATATTAAGTGAAATAAGCTGGACACAAAAAAACAAATACTACATGTTCCCTCTTATATTTGGAAGCTAAATTAAAAAAGGAAAAAATAATAAAAAAGAAATATCTGTGGATATCAGTTTTGCTACAAATGTATTTTTATGAAACTTTGTTTAACATCTTTGTCAAACCAAATTTTTTTTTTTATCTTTTATTTAATGAATATAAATTTCCAAAGTACGACTCATGGGTTACAATGGCTTTCCCCCCCATACCGTCCCTCCCACCCACAACCCTCCCCTTTCCCACTCCCTCTCCCCTTCCATTCACATCAAGATTCATTTTCGATTATCTTAATATACAGAAGATCAGCTTAGTATACCTTAAGTAAGGATTTCAACAGTTTGTTCCCACACAGAAACATAAAGTGAAAAATAATAGATGATTTTTTTTTAAATGATGATGAAATCAGATCAGACCTATTGTCATGTTTAATCCCAGTGAGAGTCAAGTTGGGAATTGATAATTTCTTTTTTTTTTTTTTTTACAGAAGATCAGTTTAGTGTACATTAAGTAAAGATTTCAATCGTTTGCACCCCCATAGAAACACAAAGTGAAATATACTGTTTGAGTACTCGTTATAGCATTAAGCCTCAGTGTACAGCACATTAAGGACAGAGATCCTACATGAGGAGTAAGTGCACAGTGACTCCTGTTGTTGACTTTACAAATTGACACTCCTGGTCAAACCAAAATTTAGAATGATATACTACTATAGTTGTAATGATCTTTGTTTATTTTAATATTTACTGTATATGAATGAAATAAATATCTTTTGATTATTTATAGCCCTTGTCTATAGTCCCATTGAACTATGACCTTATTACATTTTACCTGTTAAACTCTTTATTTATTGAAGCATTAAACCTATGACTATAATGTAAATTAAAATAGTAACTCAAAAATTATGAAGGAAGGAAGGAAGAAGAAAAGAAAAGGAGATGAAGGGATGGAAGGAGAAAGGAAGGAAGGAAAGCATTATTGTATTCTTAGAATTGTATCTGTAAACTACATTGAATCTGTTTTTCTTTGTATTAATGTCAGGATAAGAATTTATGGGAATTGTGTTGTAGTAATTTTCATGTTTTGCTGACCCTAAGAATCTAATATATTAATCAATTCTCTAAAAGTAAAAAATAAAATGTAATAATTTAAAAAGTTTGTAAGCAAATATAAAATACTAATGTAGAGTTAACCATCATTTTTTGTTTTGAAAAAACAATTTTTTATTTATTTGAAAGGCAGAGAGAGAGAGAGAGAGGAATTCTTCCATTTGCTGACTCACTCCCCAAATGACTGCAACAGTCCAGAATGTGCAAGGCCAAATCCAGGAGCCTAGACTTTCATCTCAGTCTCATATGTGGGTGTCAATGGCCCACTCAGTCCATCTTCTGCTCCTTTTCCAGGTGCATCAATAGGGAGCTGGATCAAAAGTAGAGCAGCCAGGACTCCAACCAGTCCTCAGAAATGGGATGCAGGAGGCAGATTAACCCATAACAAGAGCTGCTATTCATTTTTATTTTCCATGAAATACGCTTAGGCCGGCACCATGGCTCAATAGGCTAATCCTCCACCTAGCGGCGCTGGCACACCGGGTTGTAGTCCCGGTTGGGGCGCCGAATTCTTTCCCGGTTGCCCCTCTTCCAGGCCAGCTCTTTGCTGTGGCCCGGGAAGGCAGTGGAGGATGGCCCAAGTGCTTGGGCCCTGCACCCCATGGGAGACCAGGAGAAGCACCTGGCTCCTGCCTTCGGATCAGCACAATGCGCCGGCCGCAGCGCGCCGTGGCAGCCATTGGAGGGTGAACCAACAGCAAAAGGAAGACCTTTCTCTCTGTCTCTCTCTCTCTCTCTCTCTCTCACTATCCACTCTGCCTGTCCAAAAAATAGAAAAAAAAAAAAAAAAAAAAAAACGCTTAAGTATTCAAATACTTGAAATTCTTTTTTTAGAAGATTTATTTATTTATTTGAGAGGCAGAGTTACAGACAGAAAGAGGGAGAGAGAGGAGAGGTCTTCCAGCTGCTGATTCATTCCCTAAATTGCCGTAATGGCCATAGCTGGGCCAGTCTGAAGCCAGGAATTAGACACTTCTTTTGGTCTCCCATGTGCACACAGGGGTCCAAGTGCTTAGGCCATCTTCCACTGCTTTCCCAGGTCACTGGCAGATGGCTGGATTGGAAGATGAGCAGCTGGGACACCAACCAGCCGCTCATATGGGATGCTGGCACCGTGGGTGGAGGCTTAACGTATTATGCCACAGTGCAAGCCCCTGAAATTCTTATACTGAGTTCTGATATTGAACTTTACATGAATTCTTTCAGATCTGCTGCCACACACCATATTGGGGTAATTGCTATTCCTACTGGGACAAAATAGATTAATCAGCTTCAATTACTTGTTAGCAAGAGTGTTAAAGGCATGACTATTGCCCTACTTCTTTTCTTTTCTTTTCTTTTCTTTTCTTTTCTTTTCTTTTCTTTTCTTTTCTTTTCTTTTCTTTTCTTTTCTTTTCTTTGTAAATTAAAATTTTCCTCTCAAAACTCCTCTCACATCCTTCATCCAGGCCTTTCTTTTCATAATCAATTTTCCTGTTCCCTTTAATTCTCATTGTTGATTTTTCTAAAATCTTCAAAATCCTAGTTTTTCACAAGAATCTCTTTCCTGAAGATGTTCCTTTTGACCATGACTTTATTTACTTTTCCAACATCTTCTGTCAGGAATCATTTCTTTCCTTGCCTCATCCACACCCAGACAATTTCTTTCATCTTTTCTGTTTCCTCTTCAGTACTTAATTACTTAGCCTTAGGAATTTATAAGTTCCACAGAGAGAGTTTGCCAGGAAATAGTGATTTTACAAGTTCAAAGCTTCTTTCCTTATTTTCCTATCTTATTAAGTAACTTCTCACATCCCAACATACATAATAAATAAGTTCTGTTTATCAGCTTGCTTTTATGTAGTCTCTAAACTTCTACCCCTTATTTTACCAATATAGATTAATAAAGATTTGTGTCTAATCTGTGGCTAAATTATGCAGAGAATGGAACGCACTTCAGAAATCTGCACACAGGTTTTTCTTTCTTCCTTTCTTTTTTGTTCCAATAAGAGAGATCTGCTGAAAAATACTGAGGAAATACAAGGTTGCTGCTAGATCAGATGATGCCTTTATGCACATGGATCTGAATAGCTAGGTGGGGTCAAAGGTCAAGAGATAGAGGGTCTTATTATTACAAAATAAAGGTGTTCCTTTCCTATGGTGGGATGTGGCCTTGTGTCAAAGTTGATGGGTTAACTAGGGATGTATTCAGCCTTGGCTCATCCTCTCCGTGAGGAGACTCTTTTGTGCAGTGAGCAACCTGTATCATCACATATGGCAGCACTTAGGGAGTGCAGCTTGAGTAGGTAAGCAAGCAAAATAGAGAATAAGTCTAAGAATGCTAATGGCAATTAATACTTCCACAGAAGAACTGAAGTCTACTAAGACTTCCAGAATGACTATAAGGGTTTGTAATAAATATTCAATATGTACTTCAGAATGAAATTAATAAAACTGAGACAGGAAGCATAGGTACATGGGGTATAGAACTGGGTTTGGCAAACTTCTTCTTTTTTTTTTTTAAAGATTTATTTATTTGAAAGGCAGAGTTACAGACAATGAGAGAGAGAGAGAGAGACAGAGACAGAGACAGAGACAGAGAGAAAGGTCTTCTTTCCACCAACTCACTCCCCAACTGGGCCAATCCGAAGCCAGGAGCTTCCCCTGGGTCCCACACACAGGTGCAGGGGCCCAAGCACTTGGGCCATCTTCCACTGATTTTTCAAGCCATAGCAGAGAAGCTGGATCAGAAGAGGAGCAGCTGGGACAGGAACTGGCATCCATAAGGGATGCCAGCGCCACAGGTGGAAGCTTAGCCTACTAGGGCACAGCACTGACCCTGGTAAACATTTTGTTAATAGTTCCAGAGAGTAAATATTTCAGCCTCCTGGATCATACAATCTGTGTTGCAACTATTAAATCTACTTGAAAGCAGCTGTAGAAAATATATAAATGAATGATCATGGTTATGTTCTAATAAAACTTAACAAACACCATAGTTCTTGGAGGAGAATTCTGAGCCAAAGGGGTTATGTGAGGCAGTGGTTGGTGTGAATAGAACATGGGTGCAGAAAGAGCTCTAAACCTGATAACACGTGCTTGTAAATTATCTGACAGGATGAAAAACAGCCTTGCCACGAACAATTTTCATTCATAGGTCTAAAAACACCAGGAATCAAAGTTTTACTTTCCAGGCATTCAGTTCTCTGCTAACCTCCCCAACATATGTATACTTGAAGAGATTTTATAAACACATGAGGGGACTTCAGAAAGTCTGGAAAAATGGAATTAAAATGTTTATTTTGGTGCAAAAAGTTTTGAAATCTATGCATAGTTTTTTTAAATAATTCACATTTTCCATGAATTTGTTGAGTTACCCTTGCACGTGTGTGTGTGTGTGTGCACACACACATATGCATGTATTTTAGGTAAATCATTATTCATTAATCTTGTCTTGCAGTGCCCAATTTAAACAATATATATGAACATGCTGGCTGATTCTCTAGGCCAAGGTAAATTTCACTGCCCTTCCTTCATAACAACTAGTTGATATCAGAACAGATCTTTCTCAGGGCTTGCCTCACTAATGGGACTCACATTGTTTGCTCAGATAAGTAATTCCTCAGAGAAAACTCATTGTAAGCAAAATACTTAAAGAGATATGAGAAAGGGCAACAGTTAGACTACAAAAACAGTATTTATATTTTTCTATGAAAAAAATTTCATATGTTTTTCCTGTGGATAAAATTTCAAGGTCCGAGCAATTTATTCACTTCCTAAGTAAATAAAGGAATTATTCCTAAGAATAAATAAAAAGATATGTTTTTCTTGGAAGGGATTTTGCCCTGAATGAAATCCTTATTGTGGTGCAAGTGGTTTAGCTGCCTCATGCAACACCCATATACCACACTGGAGTCACTAAGATCAAGTTCCATCTCCACTTTCAATCAGGCTTCCTGGAAATGTGCCTGGGAAGCAGTAGATGATGATTTAAGTACTTGAGTACCTGCCATGCACGTGGGAGACATAGATGGAACTCTTAGCTTCTGAGGTTCAGCCTGGCCCTTTATCAGCTGTTGTGGGAGTGAACCAATGGATGCAAGGTCTCTGTCTCTTGCTCTCGCTCTCATTCTGTCACTCTGTCTTTCAAATTGTCTAATAGATCAGCTCCAGGAAGAACAGGTTCATATTTGGATAGTCAAAGACTAACTTTAGAGACTTTTGGGTATTCATACCTCTTTATTCTCACAGCGGCCTGTGAGAGTACATAGGAAACATGTCCACTTGTTCCTGGTGGCCAATGAGCCTCAGCAAAGAGATCAGGGCCCAGATCTGCCCTCAATTTCTTACATATGTTTACAAACAACAGTGGCAAGCATCCATGAGTTACCCAGCAGAACTGTATCAGTTTCTGGGCCTAGTGACTAGCAGAAAATGTGTAAGCTATTGGGCCTGATCAGTTGTCATAACAGTGAAGCAGCCTGATTAACTCCATTTCATCAACATAAATAAATAACAATGAATAAATAAACATTAAAAAGGAATCATCTTGAAAAGGTCCACGTTATTCTGTTGTTTTGTTTGCTTTTATTCTGTTCTCAAGATAAAGACAGATTGTTCCAGCAGTCTTTATAAAGAATTATGGAGACTATGAGGGTGCTGATAGTTTCTTGGGCAACTGGACTTCTGGGCCTTAGAATTTCATGCAGGGAGCAGAATTCCTTTGTGAAACTCACCCTCCAATGTTGTTTACTGTGGTCTGCAACCTCTTCTTTCACCTAAGTAGGGATGTTTATGATGCATTTCATACAGCTGTGTGATTTCTTGAGGCAACTAAGGCCAGATGGACTATTCACTGTAGCACATTTCATTTTGTAAGATTTTTACATTCCAGTGAAAACTATCAATTAAGAGGCCTTAGAGGAATGGTTTAGATTTTTATTGTGATTTACCACTGCTAGAACTCAATTAAACAATATCTGGTGAGGCCAGACCTCACTGAAAACCAATCTACTTCTTCCATAGCAAAATGATGAAGGGAAAGCACAAAGATCCAGTTTTCTGAATTTCATTGACTATTTACTGCTGCTCAGTAACATGACTGTTCTTTAGAAATATGTAAGTATAAAGTATTTTAATACTTGCTTTGTTTTAGCAGTCACTGTTACTTCCCACGACACTTCTTATTATTAAACTTGCATATGAAAGCTATGGACAAGGTCAATTTTATTTTTTTATAAAGCAAAGTTTTATTTTTATGTTTGGAGTTCATTTCTAGTCAAAATAGAAAGTAACGGCAGTGCCGCGGCTCACTAGGCTAATCCTCCGCCTGTGGTGCCGGCACACCGGGTTCTAGTCCCCGTCGGGGCACTGGATTCTGTCCCGGTTGCCCCTCTTCCAGGCCAGCTCTCTGCTGTGGCCAGGGAGTGCAGTGGAGGATGGCCCAAGTGCTTGGGCCCTGCACCCCATGGGAGACCAGGAGAAGCACCTGGCTCCTGGCTTCGGATCAGCGCGGTGCGCCCGCCACAGTGCACCGGCTGCAGCGGCCATTGGAGGGTGAACCAACGGCAGGAAGACCTTTCTCTCTGTCTCTCTCTCTCTCTCTCACTGTCCACTCTGCCTGTTAAAAAAAAAGTAACCATTACCTTTTTTATAAAGCCATTTTGAAGTTTTATGGAAAAAAAAGTATGTGAGAAAAAATTGGTTTGGAATCCAGTGGGGTGAATCCTACTCTCTAGATGGAGCAACATGCAATTCTGCCTATTGTTTTTGGAGAAGAGGATGATGTATATATTTCTGTAGAGTTGGAGTCTAACAATTGCTTCTGTAATTTTTTGTCTCTCTGAAACAACTAATTCAGAATGTAGTATTAACATGGTTAGTTTATGGAGAGGGTATTGGGTTATACTGGGTTAAGCTTCAGCTTAACCTTCCTGCATCTTATATCGAGTCCACCTTCCTAATCCAGCTTCCTAATGCATCTGAGATGCAGCAGATGATGGCCCGAGTACGTGGGTTCCTGACACCCAAGTGGGAGACTTGGATGGAGTTCTTTACTTCTGCTTTGTCCTGGCCCACACAAAGCTGTTGTGGACATTTGGGGAGTGAGCCAGTAGAATGAAGATCTTTCTCCCTCCCTCTCTGTTTCTGTCTGTCTGTCTCTTCACTCCTCCTTTCAAGTAAAAAATAGGATAAGAAGGCTGAATGGGAGGGCTTGGCATTTTGGTGTAGTGAGTAAAGCTGCTGCCTGTGACGCTGGCATCTGGGTTGGAGTTGTGCCTGTTCCACTCCCAATGCAGCTCTCTAATAATGGTCTGGGAAAAGCATCAGAAGATGGCCCCCAAGTACTCGGGCCCGGCTATCCACAAGTGAGACCTGGACTAAACTCCTGGCTTCTGGCCTCATCCTATTCTAGCCCTGGCCAATGTGGCCATCTGGGGGAGTGAACCAGTGAATGGAAGCACACGCGTGCTCTCTCTCTCTCTCTCACACACACACATACACACACACACACAGAGACACACAGTGTGTGTGTAACTCCGATTTTCAAATAAATAAATAAATCCTTTTTTTTTTTTTAAAGAAGGGTGGTTGAGATGGGAAGAATGAATATTCAATAATGTGGTTCTACTTAATCTCCTCACTACCTCTGATTCTGGCTTATTTTGAGTCAAATGTGATAGGAGAAAAGTTATCAGTGAGAAAAAGAACTATAATTTGATTTTTTTACTTCGAAGATAACGTTCTCAGATTTGTGTTAACAACATATTAGGGCACTGATTCAGGTCTGTGAGATTAAGCTGTTCCTTGTTGAACAATCACCAGAGCAGCAGACAGACTTAGAGCTCTACTGTTTAACATGTAGCACTGATTCACACCAGCTCTTGATATTTAAAGACTACATTGCATAAGATGCTATAAATATGAGGATACTTCAAACGTTTATAGAAAATTGAATTAAAAGAAGTTTATTTGGGTACAAAAAATTTTGAAATCCATGCAGTTTTGTTTTCATAGTACGCATTTTCCACAAACCTTTTAGAGACCTATTATACAAGTTCTTGTCAGTTACTTTATAGCAGATAAATTCAATGTTTCATGACTTCATATTAACAGTTGGGGAGTCTTTGTGTTAAGATTTTTTTCAGTCTATTTGCTGCTGCTAAATTTTTTTTTCCCTTTTGGTTCAGTGAAGGTGAATGCCTTTAGGCTCTGTAACTGACTTCTTGAGATCCAGAGATTATCTAATGAGTTCCTTAGAAAACTTTGCAATAAAATTAATTCAAGACTTACTGACTGACTAATGTTATCCTATCTCTAGAGTAATAAGCTGCCTCCTAATTTACTGCTCGATTGCAAAAAGTTCTGGCAGTAAACAGAAAGTAGGATAAACATCTATTATTCAGAAAAAACACACTAGGGACCTCTTGGTGTCCATGCAAGTTACAGGGAACCTAACTTTCAAATTTTCTTCCAAAAGACATGACATTATATCACAGGGCATCATAATTTATGTGTCAATAAAATTCACCATTTTTATTCATGTAAATCTCATTTATAAAATTTAAGATGTAGCCTGGACACTTGACTGCAAAAGCTTTCAACAAATTCTTTTTGGAAGAGTAACTCTCAGGAATGCTTGCTTAGAGCATGAGTTGGGACCATATATGTAACCATGAGGGATATTATTGGAAGAAAAGAAAACGTTTCAGCAGCAGACTGATCTATTTCCAATTTGATGCATCAAAAGAAATTCAATCTGTGCTCCAGAAGGCATTTTAAACAGGCATAAGATATTTTTTCCATCAGACATTTTCATATATATGCTGAGATAATGCTGCAAATGTTTCGAAATAACATAAAAATGCTGTGGATAGAATGAATTATGTCTTAGGTCTATTTCTAAATAATCAAGATGCATAGTCTTGTCGAGAATTTTATCTTCTTAAAATTATTGTTTGCCCACATATTTACTATCTGATATAACAGTTATTGGTCTCACACATATATATGCTGTGTGAGAGTATGGGTATGTGTGTGATGAGAGTGTGTGAATCGGGTATTTTTGGCTTATACAAGTTTAATCTGAAATCCAATTCCAAATGCTTATCTTCAAGGCCTGAAATAATGGACTTTGTGAATGTACTCTGTTTAACTCAAGTCCTGGAACAAGTTGTGAAATAGGTAAAGTTGATCTTCATTGAACTGTACACTTTTTTTTTCCAACATTTATTGTCTGCAGGGTTTTTTCTACTTTGATGTTCTGCCTTTGCTGGGGAAACCATCTCAAGTCACACAGAACAAGACTGTCCTGGGGCATCGGTGTCTTAGACAGTAGTTTCTGAACCAGGTACCTTTTGTACTTATATGTATTCTCCCATTCTGAATTTCTCTTTGTGTTCATTTTTTATAGTAAGTGCATTTTAATGGAAATGTGTATAAAGAAAGAATCCCTCTTTATCCCTCCCAACTCTCCAATTCCCATTTTTCTTCCAGCACCACTGTTTATATTTTAGTTAACATTTCAGTCCCTAAAGCAAACATTTTTTAAAAATACACTTTGAACTCCAGGTTCACTATCTTTTCACTTCATAAATCTTACTAAATTATATTTTTTCAAAAATTACCAATTTACAAGTTAACATATTATTAATCTAACAACCAGAGAAGATAATGGTCCTTGGTATACAGAAAAAAGACTTGAATTTAAAATGCCTTCATTTCTAGACTACTTATGTAAAAATGTAACTATACTTCATGTTATGAGGGGGCTCATGAAACTAGGTTGAATGATGTCCTCCACAAAAGTATGTCAATGTTCTGATGTTCTGAACTAACTTGTCAATGGTATCTTTTCTTTTCTTTCTTTTTTTTTTTTTTGAAAAGGAGTCTCTGCAGGCATAATTAAATTAAAGGTCTGATCATCCAGGTCCACTTGGGTCGGCCCTTCACACACTAACAAGGTTCTAGAAAACAGACAGCCAGAGGAAAAGGCAATGTGAAGACAGAAAATGGAATGGTATGGGCACAAGTCAAGGAAGGGAAAGAATGCTGGCCACCACCAGAAGGTGACGTAGGCAAGAAGATTCTCCTCTAAGTTCTCTGGAGGGAGTATGGCTCAGCTGACACTATGATTGTAGACTTCTGGCCTCCAGAATCATGAGAGAATAACTTTTTTTGTTCCATGACACCTAGTTTGTGGTGTTTTGTTACAGCATCTGGAGGAAACTAACCCAAAGACCCACAACTGAAAGCCTACACTTTCACTATCCAGAGAAAGGATATTAGACAAAAATGAATTTACAAAATTCACTCATCAATAAGAAGCATTTATAATTTCTACTGTTATAAAATAATATCTAAAGAATTATGACTACCAGGCTTCTATACAGTCATATAAGTACTCCACTATAGCACTGAAACTAAAATATGTGTTTCTGAATTAATAAGAATGATTTATTAAATATCAACAAAATACTAAATTAATAATATTTAAGCCTTAAAGATACAGCTTTGGAATTGTATTTTAATTACGTTCATAAATGGAAGTGACATATTAGTAAGATTTATAGGAGGGTTCAAGATGGCTGAATCAACAGAAGCTGCACTGACTTCAGCCACAGAAGCATATGAGAAAAACCAAGGAAGGACCATGATTCTCGGGGAATGACTGACAGAAACTGTCATTGGAGAATGATAGAACAGAACAGAGACTCTAGGGGACAGTGAGGACAGTAAATAGGCATGCTACAAAGCATTATCCCTGCCGACTTTAACTCCAGTTAGGTAGCTGACTGGTACTGAGTGACTGCTTGGCTCTGAGAAGGGAAACCACATTGACTCCCTCCCCTCCCCAATCCCCACAAAGTTTGGAGCTGTGTAGAGTCTCACAGCTGATCTCTATTCCACTGCTGCCAGAAGCTATCAGAATCAGAGTCAGGGTAATATGCAGGGCACACAGCCTACCCCCTGCATGCTATAACTGTGGAGTCTTGGGCATAAGCCCCAGAGCTACAACCATTCACTCTGTGTGATCCCTGGAGGTTACCCCAGCTTCTTGATGCTCTAGCACTAGCAGAAGCTACAAAAATTCCAGACCCAACCTGAGAAAGTTTCCTCTGTATCTCTAGAACACACTTCTCCTCCACACTGGGGAATTTGAACAATGACCCCACTGTACCCTGCAACACCAGAACTGTAACAATCAGTACTAATTTCCACAAACTCACTGGAATCTATCCATAGGACCTAGGGAAGAACCTATCTGCATTCCACCTCTTTGAACCTATATCTGACAGTGCAAAATCTCCTGCTGTATCTTGTAGTAACCCTACAGGAATGGAGAGGGGATCAGTTCATATCCCCTAGACCTGGGACCAGGGCTGTTGGTGCTATAAGTCCTAGCACCAGTTGCAGTCTCTCAGAAGGCCCATTCACATCACGCAATCCTAGATCCACAGTTAGTGGTGCCAAAAGCATCTCTCAGGCTTGCTAGTGGTACAAGGGGACAGCCCCCTGTGTGCCTTTCAGCACAAAGACTGAGGCCCTCTACAGGGACTGAAGATACACACCCTAGGAAACCCACATTCACCTCAAAGTCATACTTCTATCCATATGAACTGCAGCAGAATACACCACTCTGTCACTTATGGAAACAGTTGACATTGATTAAAGTAAAAGAACACTCAGAGGTTATACTTCTGGGATCATCTAGAACCCATGCAAAAACATAAAACCAAGTGATACCTTGTATTCCATCTAAAACATAAACTCTTTTCCAATAAAACCTATTTCATAGAGAAGGGATATTTCACTAAATGCAGAGACATCAACATAGGCTCACAGGAAAAACGAAGAAGCAAGGTAGCATGACACCTCCATAAAACACAACAGACCTCCAGAATTAGACCCTGATCAGAAGGAAATCTATGAAATATCAGAAATAGAATTCAAAATAATATTGCAAGGAAACTTAATATCTACAAATAGACAGCTAAAAGAAATGAGGAAATCAATGGGTGACACAAATTAAATTCACTAAGGACACATATCATTAAGACTGACAGTCATATGTTATATGACTGACAGCTTCAACAAAAGAATAGACCAAGTGGAGGAAAGAATTTCTGAACTGGAGGGCAAGACTTCTAAAATAACCCAATTACAGAAAAATAAACAAAAAAAGAATAAAAAAATGAAAAAAGTCTTTGTGAAATATGGGATATCCTCAAATGACCAAATAGAGTGTTATGTGGACTCCTGTAGGAGACAAGAAGGACAAATGCATTGAAAATATGCTAAACAAAATAATAGTTGAAAATTTCCCACGTCTTGAAAGAGACATGACACCCAGATTCAAAAAGCTCAAAGAACCTCAAGCGGACTCAATCAAAAAAGATCTTCTTGAAGGCATTTTGTAGTCAAATTGTGAAAAGTTAGTGACAAAAAAAGATTCCTAAAGACAGCAAGAGAAATGAATTAAGTTACATATAAAGGAAAACTAATTAAACTAATAGCAGACTTCTTAGCAGAAACCCTTACTGGTCAGAACAGAGTGGGATGATATACTCAAGATCCTAAAAGAAAAATACTTTAAACCAAATATTTTATATCCATCAAAACTATCCTTTATAAATGAAGGAGAAATAGGTATTTTTCAGGTAAGAAAAAACTAAGAAAATTCACTACCAGAGCAGCATTAAAAGAAACTCTGAAGGGAGTCCTACATCAGAAATTAATATGAAAACACATGACACTACTAAATTCATTAACAAAGCAAATATAATCAGTGACCAATCAACAAAATGACAGGTGTTAGTTCCTTTCTATCAATACTAACCTTTAATGTAAATGGATTAAATACCTAAGACTTAGTTTGGCTGCATGGATAGCCAACAAAGACCCTACCATATGTTGCCCATAAGAAACTCATTTCATAAATAAAGATGCACACAGACTTAAAGTGAAGAGTTAGAAAAAGAGATACCAGGCAAATGGAAACCAAAAACATATAGGAGTAGCTATCTTCAAAGAAAATAAAATAGACTTTAAATAAAAAACTTCAAAATAGAGTCAAAGAAGGACATTATACATTGATAAAAATTCAGCAAGAGATATAACAATAATAAATATATATGCAACCAACACAAGACTACACAGAAATATGAGATAAATACTACTAGAGATAAAGGGAGAGATAGACTCCAGGATGGTAATAATAGAAAGTTCAGCATCCCACTCTTTTTTTTTTTTTTTTTTGGACAGGCAGAGTTATACAGTGAGAGAGAGACAGAGAGAAAGGTCTTCCTTCCGTTGGTTCACCCCCAAAATGGCCACTACAGCCAGTGCGCTGCGCCAATCCGAAGCCAGGAGCCAGGTGCTTCCTCCTGGTCTCCCATGGGGGTGTAGGGCCTAAGCACTTGGGCCATCCTCCACTGGCTTCCCAGGCCACAGCAGAGAGCTGGACTGGAAGAGGAGCAACTGAGACAGAATCCGGTGCCCCGACTGGGACTAGAACCCAAGGTGCCGGTGCTGTAGGCAGAAGATTAGCCTAGTGAGCTGCGGCACCAGCCATCAACATCCCACTCTTATCAATGGACAGATCATCCAGGCAGAAAATCAGCAAAGGTACATCTGAGTTGAACAATATTATTGAGTAAAAGGATTTAAGGGACATTTACAGGACATTTCAGAATATATATCCCTCTCATCAGTATGTAATATGTGATAGAGCACATATTAGACCACAAATTAAGTCTCATCAAATTTAAAAATATTGAAATCATGCCATGTATCTCTTCAGTCCAGAAAGTAATAAAACTAGAAATCAACAAGAAGAACAATACAACGTTCATAAAAACATGGAAATTAAGTAACTTGTGTTGAATGATCTGTGGGTCATTTAAGAAATTAAAAAGGAAATCAACCAACTTTCTTGAAATAAGTGAAAATGAAAGCACAATATATCAAAACTTGTGGGTTACAGCTAAAGCAGTATTAAGAAGGAAGTTAATAGCATTAAGCGATTACATTAAAAAGGGAAATGTCTCAAATAAATGATCTAATGATGCATCTCAAAGACTCAGAAAAACAAAAACATACTCCACCAGAAATCAGCAGGTGGTGAGAAATAATAAGGAGCAGAGCAGAAATAAATGAAACAAACTAAAAAAAACACAAAAATCTACAAAACAAAGGATTTCTTTGAGAAGACAGACAAAATAGACAAACTTTTTGACAGAATAAAAAAAAGAAAATCAAATAACTAAAATTATTTATGAAAAAAGGGACATTACTATGACACCACTGAAATATAAAAGATCATAAGAAACAACCATGAAAAATTAAATGCTAGATTAAATTAAATTAAATACTAGAAATCCTCAAAGAAATGCAAAAGTTTCTGAATATACATAACTGACTAAGATTAAATCAAGAAGATATAGAAAATCTAAGCAGAACCAGAGTAAGCAACAATATTGAAGAAGTAATTAAAAGTTTCTATCAGCAAAGTCCAGGACCTGAGGACTTTACTACTGAATTCTAAAAAACATTTAAAGAGAAACTAATTCTAATATATTTTTTTAAGATTTTATTTATTTATTTGACAGGTAGAGTTACAGACAGTGAGAGGGAGAGACAAAGAAAGGTCTTCCATCTGCTGGTTCACTCCCCAAAAGGCCGCAACTGTTGGAGTTGGGCCAATCCAAAGCCAGGAGGCAGGAGCCAGGAGCCAGGAGCTTCTTCTGGGTCTCCCATGTAGGTTCAGGGGCCCAAGTGCTTGGGCCATCTTCCACTGCTTTCCCAGGCCATAGCAGAGAGCTGAATCAGAAGAGGAGCAGCCTGGACTAGAGCTGGCGCCCATTTGGGATGCCAGTGCCACAGGCAGAGGATTAACCTACTGTGCCACAGTGTTAGCCCACAATATTTTTCAAATTATTCCAAAATATTGAATAGCATGGAACTCTGCAAAAGACTTTTCATTAGGCTAGCATCACTCTTTTTAACAAACCAAATAAATACAAACACAAAAAAAAACTACAAATGGATATACTTGATCCACATGGATACAAAAATTCTCAAAATACTAGTGAATCAAAAAGATCAGCATCATGATCAAGTGGGATTTATCCCAGCAATGCAGGCAAAATTCAACATTTGCAAATCAATAAATGTCATATACCACATTAACAGAATGAAAAACAAAACCCATATGCTCACCTCAACAGATGCAGAGACAGCAATGAATAAGATTCAATATCCCTTTATAATAAAAATTCTCCATGAATTAGGTAAAGAACGAATGTATCTCAAAACTATAAAAGTTATATATGGCAAACCAAACAACCAGCCAATATTTTACTGAATGGGAAAAAACTGAAAGCATTTTCCCTCAGATCTGACCAAGTCAACGATGTGCATGTTTACCACTGTTACTCAATACAGTATCGAGAGTATTAGCAAGAGCAATTAGGGAGGAGAAATAAAGTACATCAAAATTGGAAAGGAGGGATTCAAAATATCTATATTTACAGACGACATGATGTTGTACAGATAAAAACCTAAACACTCCATCAGAAATATTTTAGAACTGATAAATTAATTCAGTAAATTTGTAGGTTACAAAATTGAATACAAAAAAATTTAGCTTTTTTATGTGCTAATGATGAACTTGCTGAAAGAGAAATTAAAAAAAATCCTATTCACAATGGCCACTAAAAATAAAATATTTAGGAATAAATTTGACCAAAGAAGTGAAAGATCTCTACAATGAAAACTACAAAAGATTGAAAAAATAAATCATCAAACACACAAAAAAAGGCAAAGATATTCCTTGGTAATGGATTGAGAGAATTAATAAAATTAAAATGTCCATACTCCCAAAAGCATTCTGCAGATTCAATGTAATCCCTACTAAAATACTAATGTCATTCTTTACAGAATTAGAAACAACTATCCTAAAATACATATGCAATTAAAAAAGACCCAGAATAGCCAAAATGATTCTGAGGGAAAAAAAATCAAGCTGGAGGCATCACAACATCTGACTTCAAAGCATACTGCAAACCTATAGTAATTAAAACAGCATGCTACTGAAATAAAAACTGACATAGAGATCATTGGAATAGAATAGAAAGCCCAGAAATTAATCCACATACATACAGTCAACTGGTTCTTGACAAAGGTGTTTTGACTATACATTGGAGAAAGGATACTCACTTCAATAAGTGGGCTAGCAAAACTGGATGGATGTATGTGGAAGAAATTAGAAATTACGTCCTTACCTCCCACTGTATTTAAAAATCAGCTCAAGATGGGTCAAAGACTTTAAACCCTGATACTAAGAAGTTACTGGAAGAAAATGTAGGGGGAATACTTCAAGACATTTGTGTAGGTGATGACTTCCTGGATAAGACCCCAAAGCACAATAAAGAAAAACAACACTAGACAAATGAGATTATTTCAAACTCAGATGTTTCTGTACAGCAACCAAAACAATCACTATATCCAACAGAATGGAAAAAATATCTGCAAGCTTCCTGTTTGACAAAAGATTACTAAACAGAATATATCTGCGATAAAACTCAACAAGAAAATAACCAATCCAGGTAAGTAATGGGCAAAGAACCTCAATACACAATTCTCAAGAGAAGAAACAGAAATCAACATCACTAGCCATTAGGGAAACACAAATCAAAACCACAATGAGATATCACCACAATAGCTTTTATCCAAAAGACAGAAATTACGAAATGCTGGGGAAGCTGTGGAGAAAAGGGAACACTTATATACTGTGGGAATAAAAATTGTTCAACCACTGTGGAAAATAGTATGTATAGTTCTTTAAAAAAATACAAATAGACTTGCCATAGGATCCAGAAATTCTACTACTGAGTGTATATCCAAAAGACATGGACGTACTATATTAAAAATATCTGCACCACAATATTTATAGATGCACTTTTCACAATAGCCAAAACATATCATCAACCCAGGTGTCTAGCATCAGATGATATATACACACACATTGGAATATTATTCAGGTATAAAAATGAATGAAATGCTTCCATTTGCATCAAAATGGATGCAACTGGAAGATACCACATTGAATGAAATAACAGACATAGACAAATACCGCATGTTCTTTCTTATATGTGGGAGCAAAGATTAGAAAAGGAAAAAATGACAATCATATCCCAAAATGACCATTCATTCCTAAACATTTTTGGCATTCTATATTAACTGCCACATATAAGAGGAAAACATATGGTGTTTGTCTTTTTGAGATTGGCTTATTTTGCCAGCGCCGCGGCTCACTAGGCTAATCCTCCACCTTGCGGCGCCGGCACACTGGGTTCTAGTCTCGGTCTGGGTGCCGGATTCTGTCCCGTTTGCCCCTCTTCCAGGCAGCTCTCTGCTGTGGCCAGGGAGTGCAGTGGAGGATGGCCTGAGTCCTTGGGCCCTGCACTCCATGGGAGACCAGGAGAAGTACCTGGCTCCTGCCATCGGATCAGTGCGGTGCGCCGGCCGCAGTGTGCCAGCTGTGGCGGCCATTGGAGGGTGAACCAACGGCAAAGGAAGACCTTTCTCTCTGTCTCTCTCTCTCACTATCCACTCTGCCTGTCAAAAAAAAAATAAATTAAAAAAAATAATATACATTAAAAAGAAAAAATGTCTGTGGGCATCAGTATCACTTCAAATAGAATTTTGTTAAATTCTTCTTAATAGTTTTCTCAAACCATTGGTTAAGAATGATAAAGCACTACAGTTTTAATGATTTGTGATTATTTTAACATGTACTGTATATGAGTGCAATGGACATCTTTTCACTTGATTATTGTTGATAGTTTTTGCCTATATCCCCCTGTTGAAATATGATCTTTTATTTTTTTACCTGTTAGCCTCTTTATTTAGTTGAGTATTATGTCTTAGAATACAATGTAAATTAAAAATATTTCATCTCAAGAATTGAAAAAGCAGTGAAGAAACAAAGGAAGAAAAGAAGGAAGGCAGAAATAAATGAAGAATTAGAAAGAAGGAAGGAAGACGGAGGAAGGGAATTATTATATTCTTAGAACTGTATCTATGAAATACATTGAATCTGTTTTCTTTGTGTTACTATCACATTAAGATAAGAATTGATGAGAATTTTATTGTAGTAATTTTCTCGCACTTGTTGTGACCCAGAGAATTTAATATATTAATAAATTCCTTAAAAGTAATATTTATATTTATACAATGTAAATGTTATCTTAAGAATTTTAACTATAAAATTTCTTTTTGAGTAATTACATATTGACTTTATAGAAATAAAACTAAGACATAAAAAAATCAAAATTACTCTAGAAAAGACCAAAAGCAATATCTTCTTTTAGTTTGGATCTTCAGAAGTAGGCTCATTGGAAGGCTAGATCAACCCACTTCTAATTTCTGGCTGAGGTATAGAAGACAAAATCCAGTGCTTGGCAGTGAGACATTTCTTGTTTCCAGTGTAGGTTGTGCTGGAGTAGTAAAATCATTTAGCATGGAGAATTCTTGGGAAGGTCTGTACTAACTTTCCAGAGGAGGAAAAGGGACAGGAGGTCCCCTTCCCAGAAACTGTCTTTTGGCATCCTCTATAGCTCTGGATCTTTGAATGAAGGACACAGTATGAGAATAGAGTCTGGACCAGCTGCATTCCATTCCATGGGAGCACTGATTTGTTGCCAGCAGAGGTTGTACTGGGGTAGCAGAATCATTTGATGAGAGATTCATGGGAAGGTCTCTACTAGCTTTCTATGGAAAAAGAGGGACAGGAGGTCCTCTTCTCAAAAACTGTCTCCTGGCATCTTCTGCAACATACCAACTCTGACTGACAGATGCAGTTGCGGTGTAGAGTTGGAAGCAACTGTTTCAATTCAGGTGGGAGCCTTCAATCTAGCAAGCTTAAATTACCAAGATAATCTATGCTTTCATTTTATTGGATTCCATTTCTGAAGATGCCTGACCTTTGTGTCATTAAAAGAAGGCACAGTAAGAATTATAAGTTCTGCTAGTTCTGAGAATCTGGCAACACATGGAACACCCACATGAATTCTGCATTGCATGTGTGAAGGAATCGTTGGATCAGGATAGAGTTGGCCTGACGGAGGGATTCTTTTCCTGTGATCCGAATCCCTTGGGGATGGCAGCTCTGGATCCTTGAGCCATTCCAGTTGTATTAGTTTGCTAGGACTTCCATAACAGCTTCACAAACAAAGTGCTGAGTGGCTTACACACAATAAATTTATTTTCTTATAGTTCTGCATGCTAGAGGTCTGAGATTAGGATACAAGCAAATTTGGTTTCTTCTGAGGCCTATTGCCTTAGCTTGCAGATGGTTATCTCACTGTGTTCTTACAAGGTCTTTCTCTATGTGTCTAAATTTCCTTTTCGTGTAAGCACACCAATTAGGTTGGATGAGGACCCACTTGAATGACTTCATTTCAACTTTATTATCTCTTTAGAGGCGCTATCTCCAAATATAGTAATATTTTAAAATGTTGGGTATTAGTTTTTCAATAAATTATGAAGGTACACAATTCAGGCATAGCAGCAGACTGAAGCTCCTCCTTCTTTGGTGATCTGGTAATGTGCAGAATTTGCTAGATCATATGAATCAAAAACTTATTTTTAACTTATATTAGGTACCAAGATTCATGATACACAATTTTTTTTCTTTGGAGTACAGATACCCTGAGCAGATTACTGAGATCTTTTACTTCTTTTTCTCTTGGCTTATTTCAACCATAAGTATTAGATGAGGGCTCTCCACCCTGCTGAAAGTCTTTTTCCTTGTGAGGATGGAAGATTGGGGAATTAACCCCTGGGAATTGCTCTCAATCAATGACTAAGAGAAATCGGTGTGTCGCTCCCCCACTTCACGGAGGAACGACACTGAACCCTGCGCTGTTCTTTTGTCTGCTTGGCCCTTCCCGGGTTTGCTGCTGGTTCTTCCCGGGTGGGCAACCGTCCCTTCCACCTCCGTGGAAGGGCGGTGCCCCCTGCCACTTTCCCCACTTCCGCGGGGGAGTGGCACACCGCCGGCCGGCTCTCTCGGGGGCTGCTCAGATGTTCCTCAGGTGTTCCCCTTAGATGTTCCTGGTGCATGTTGTCTCTCTCCTCCTTTATAGTCCTCTTCCACCAATCCCAACTCTGCTACCCACACGCCAAGCACGCTGCTCTCCTCCAATCAGGAGCAACTCCTGCAGCTTGTCAAGTTGGTGAGAGGCAGCTGCGTAGAAGCTGTTTACTCCTCTCCCAGCGCCATACTGTGGGAGAGCAGATGCATAGAATAAGTCTTAATTCCAGTAACTTAGTCTAGTCTGAGTTGCTCCCCACATCGGTGTAAATATTCCAGCTTCTTTGGCCTCCAGATAGAAAGTTACATCCATAAGGAATTAAATTCCACTCTTCCAATGTGAGATTTAGGTTGATAACCTATGTTTCATTGCTTATCTTCCCTTTCTGGTCTCATACTCTTTCCTCTCTCCATTACTTAATGTACCTTCCAAATAAATATTTACATCTTAATTATTTTATCTGGATCTGCTTTTTTTTTTTGAGAGGAAAAGGGCAACCTAAAGCAAGGCAATTGGTCTCAAAGTTGTTCTAGGAAGCAAATATTCAAAATGGATTCTAGAATAAAATCGTGTAGCATTCAGATTGCAACAAAGACACCCCCCCCCATTGTTTGTGATAAGTAGGCTGTTCACAATATCTGGTATGTTGCAGCAATATAATAATGAGACACTTATTGTGGTGATCTGAGATGGGATGAAGTGGAAGGGCATGTACTGATCTATGCAATATTTCTAGAGCCTGAGGGATATTGCTAGTGGTAATTATAAGACTACTAATTTGGTCAGTTGCTGTTAAATGACACTGATGTGTTTAAGAAAAAAATTCACTCAAGCTAACCAGCCATTAACTCAAGGGATTCTGTTAAATCACAAAATATCTTTGGCAGTATTTAAGGAAGCTCTCATCTTCTAAAGCTGTAAGGCAGACTGTGCTTAAAATCAAGTTGATATGATTGTAAGAACAATGAAATTATTTATTTGAAAGTCACAGTTACAGAGAGAGGGAGAGGCTGAGAAAGAGATCCTTCATCTGCTGATTCACTCCCAAAATGGCAGCAATAGTGGGGCTGGACCATCCTGAAGCCGGGAGCCAGGAGTTTCCTCCAGGTCTCTCATTTGGGTGGCAGAGGCACAAACACATGAGCCATCTTCTGCTGCTTTTCCTAGACCATTAGCAGCAAGCTGGATCAGAAATGAAGCAGTAGGGACTCAAAATGGTGCTTATATTGGATGCTGGCATTGAAGGCAGCAGCTTTACCCGCTATGCCACTACTGTATCTACAAACCACACTGAATCTGTTAAAAACCTATTAAAATTTAAAATTAAAGAGTTAAAAAATGGAAGTAAAGAAAGCTTAAGTAACAGAGTTGGAAATGTTTTTTTCTAAAATTAGAAACCTGATTGGACAATACTAGAGTCTGATGAGAATCCTGAACTTTCTCAAGGTCTCCAAGAACTTTTAGGCTTACAAAGTGGTCCACTGAATTTCTCCAAAATCCCATTGAATTCCTGGGCCCGCAGAAGTTTCTAGCTCTTCTTATCAGAGAACATCAGTTACTCTCACTTTTATGTCTGCCTTGTTCCAACACGATGTAGGCATCTCACCTGAAGCATATATTTTTCAAGATAATATGCTTGCAAGTATGCTTCCCTCAAGGTTTGCTCCAATCTTCCCTCCTGGTATCTAGGCAATAACTAGGCTCAATCTTGGCATGGTCCAACTCAGAAATACTGATTTGGGAGGAAATGGACTATTTGCCAGAAGAATTTCAGATCTATATTGTGAACAAGGAACATGTGCCTAGAAATTGATCTTAAAAGTGCTGGACAAGGGGTGGACATTCTGGTGCAGTAGATTAAGCTGCCACTTGGGACAAATATCTCATTATGGAATGCCTGGGATCAACTACTGCCTCAGCTTTCAATTCAGCTTCCTGCTAATGTACACTGCTAGAGGCAGAAGATAATGGCTTAAGTACTCAGTCTTTACCACCCATATAGGAAACCCAGATTGAGTTCCAGGCTCTTAGCTTTGGTTTGAAACAGCATTGGCTGTTGTGGATATTTGGAGAACTGTGGGCATTTAGAGAGAAAAGCAATGGATGGGAAGTCTGTCTGCCTTTCAAATAAATGAGTAAATGAATAATATTAATTTAAAAATTGATAATTAGAAAAGAGGATTGGCCTTCAAAAATGAAATTATAACAATAAAATGAAAAGTGATAGTGCTAGAAGTCAAATTCTAAGAAAGTTTAAATGGGATTATGGAAGAAATAACTGATGATGGGAATATTTACTCCAATTTTGATGAGACACTAGATGTGCAGTTGGAGTAACTTAGTGAAAGTGACTTTACTGATGAAATTGAGAGGAGTTATAACAGAAAGGAAGAAATATTTCAGAAAAAAGGATGTCGGTGGAAACTGCCACATTAAAGGAATTTTTGCCTTATTGAAAGTAGAAAAGATGGCTGACGCCATGGCTCAACAGCCTAATCCTCTGCCTGTGGCGCAGACACACCGGGTTCTAGTCCGGGTCGGGGCACAGGATTCTGTCCTGGTTGCTCCTCTTCCAATCCAACTCTCTGCTCTGGCCTGGGAGTGCAGTGGAGGATGGCCCAAGTCCTTGGGCCCTGCACCTGCATGGGAGACCAGGAGAAGCACCTGGCTCCTGGCTTCAGATCAGCGCGGTATGCTGGCCGCAGCGGCCACTGGGGAGTGAACCAACGGCAAAGGAAGACCTTTCTCTCTGTGTCTCTCTCTCTCACTGTCCACTCTGCCTGTCCAAAAAAAAAAAAAAAAAAAAAGAAGAAAGTAGAAAAGATAAAGTTCTGAGAGCTGGTTCAAACTGAGAGAGTAGTATGACAATGTGCCAAGTCATGAAAAAGATGCTTGATCCATATCATAAATCACTGGACAGGAAAGAGGTAAGCACTACTAAAACTGCTCTTGATTAGTTTTTACTTTTTAGAATGAAACAAAAACATTTTAATTTCAATGTTTCTACTAGATAGATCCTCACTGAGAGCACTGTTTTACCTGTTTAAACAAACAGATCTACAGCAGGTGATCCAACTGTTGATGTCAATTGCCAAATTGCCAATAGCAACACAAAATATTATGATGCACTGTCAAATTTCCAGATCTAAGGCAGTTCTCAGGCTGAAAAGGCAGATGCACCATCTTCTGAGACATGCATCTCAGCAAATACTGACAAGAGTAATTTCCCTAATCCTTTCCTTAAGAGATTTATGACCATTTACCAGATAAATCATATTTTCTTAAAGGGAAATATCCATTTATTTCCAGCGCTGTTGGGTACAGAGTCAGAGCTGCCACTGGTGCATTTTCAGACAGGGAGTATATAGAGTTCAGGCCTTTTATGGGTTGAATTGTGCCCTCAAAACAGCAAGTTGGAATTATAACCCTCAGTACCTAAAAACGTGTCTTTATTTGGAGATAGGATGTTTACAAAAGTAATACAGTAAAACTATAGTCATTAGGGTTGACTTAATTTGATAAGACTGATGTCCATAATGAAAGGGAAAATTTGGACACAGAGACAAACAGGCATAGAGCAAAAACAGTATAAAGAGACACAGGGAGAAGATGGCCATCTACAAACCAAAGAGAGAAGCCTGGAACAAATCATTGTTTCATAGTCCTCAGAAGAAACCAATCCCACTTGATCTTAGACTTCTAGCTTTCACAATTGTGAGACAGTAAAGTTTTGTTTTTGTAGCCTCCTAGTTTATGTTACTTTGTAGTAGCTGTGGGGAGCAACTCGGACTAGACTAAGTTACTGGAATTAAGACTTATTCTATGCATCTGCTCTCCCACAAAATGGCGCTGGGAGAGGAGTAAACAACTTCTACACAGCTGCCTCTCGCCAATTTGACTGATGAGCTGCAGGAGCTGGTCTTGCTCCTGATTGGAGGAGAGCAGTGTGCTCGGAGTGTGGGTAGCAGAGTTGGGATTGGTGGAAGAGGACTATAAAGGAGGAGAGAGACAACATGCACCAGGAACATCTATCTGAAGGAACACCTGAGCAGCCCCCGAGAGAGCCGGCCGGTGGTGTGCTGCTCCCCCGGGGAAGTGGGGAAAGTGGCAGGGGGGCCTGCCCCTCCACGGAGGTGGAAGGGATGGTAGCCAACCGGGGAAGAACCAGCAGCAAACCCGGGAAGGGCCAAGCAGACGAAAGAACAGCGCAGGGTCTAGTGTTGTTCCTCCACGAATGGGGGAGCGACAGTAGCAAACTACTATTACAAAGACAGAAATAGAGTCCAGGAATAAGTCCATCTCATAGTGAATTCAAAGTCTTCTGTTGCTATTTGTTTAGCCCTGAGTCCATAGTCATGATGAATCTATTTGGTCGATGAAAGAAATCTCTGATTGGTTATGGTAGAAAAGACCAAATGGAAGCCCTTAAACTCTCCCTATTGACTTCCCAACCAAGACATAAAATCAAAAGCAATACAGCACCCCAGGTGGCATGGCAGAGGTAAGAAATACCCTCAAAGAATGATTTTGGGAGTTGCTGAGGCATCAACACTAGTCATAATTCTGGGGAAAAAGCAATAGATGGATCAGAGCAGATTATGTAGATCTCTGAAAACTTAGCCAAGTAGTGTATTCAACTACATTTTCCTTGTTAGATGTGTATTTGCACAATAACAGATTGATGCAGCCTCTTGCATTTACTGTGCAAAGTACATATTTGTGCCTTGCTAGTAAAATGGATGTGAAGTGGTTTTCATTCATTTGGAAGGGAGCAAAATATGCATTCATCGACTTTGTCAGAGTTATAGTAATTTTCCATTGTCCATCACAATGTAGGTAAAAGGAGCTTTACTCTTTGAACATTCTGGAGAAAACCCAAACTGTTTCTGATAATATCACATTCATTAGATCTGGATCAGGAAGCCAGGAGTACTCTGGATTTCTTGATATGCTAAAGATTGACAGATGAAGCCTACAAAAACCCCAAAGCCTGCCACATAGGTGAAAGTTTTAGAGGTTCTAAGGTCTGAATAATGATGAGACATCCCCACCAAGGTAAAAAAAAAAAAGCTACTGTATCTCCCATTTGCTACCACTGAGGAAAATGTACAGGACATGGGCACCGGCA